ATTAATAAGTCAGTAAGTATAATATAACTTAATATAATAATATACAGTGTGTAAACTCTAATTGAGAACACTCAATATCTTTGCGTAGAGCCCTACAATTTGAATTCTGATTTATTATTGGTTATTATGATATAAAAATACACCTTATTATAGCCTTTGAATTTTTAACTTAATTAAGTACAACTTTTTTTTCTTAAATGGCAACCGCCTATTTTAACCACTAATTATTTTTTGCCTAATTTTTTAATGCATTTTGGTGGTTTGACTAACGTTCTAAGTCTAAAATTGACCAAGTTACAACCTGCAATCAACAAAAATACTACAAAATACGAGAAATTTTTAGATTTATTACTGTAAATCTGTAAATAATTATTCTAAAATTGTTTAGGCTTAACATTTTCACCCCTAATTATTTATGTAATATTTAGGTGATACATAAATAAATGGATCTATTGGAATTTATTAATCAGTCAGTATTGATACTTGATTGCATGTTGCTGTTATTATATCTTTTAAATTTCGAAGATTTATTGGAGGGTCGGCTGCATACATTAAAGTATTAAACTATTAATAAATACCAATAGATTCATTACATGTAACATAATAAACAACATATTTATTTATGTAAACCTTAGTAGATACTAACAAGTAACTAGTTGTAACTTTGTAATTTGTAAGTAATATCTACTAACGGCTTCTCAGCTTTGAGTTTTACACACGATTATAGTATATTAGGTATCTATGTTGTTATTGTGGTTCATTAATGTAAATATTGATAACAAAGTCAAAAAACCCACAAAAATTCAAAACCCAGATTCCATTATATTACGTAGTAATAAGCACCAAGCACGTACTCTACCTATACTCTTTAGGTACTCTATACCCCACAGACCACAGCATAATAATTGTGCTACTAGGTATTAGCATTGATTATAAATACTAGTATTATAGTATTTATAATCAATGTTTTAAATGGTTACATGCTAATTACAGCAGCGCAGCAGCTTAATATCCATAGGATTTTATAACAAATAGTTAGCCTATCCACACCTAGGAAAAAAATCCCTAAAGCTGTACCTAACTATTGAATATGAATCCCGGGAAAAAATAACAACCAAAAAAGAACAATTTTTAAAAATTTTAAATATATTAACTGATTATGAAAATTAAAAAAAATATTAATCTGTACCTATAGTATGGGATCAATAGTATGATATCAATAGTATGGGAAAATTAATTTTGGTATTTCCAATAATATGGTTTATTGAGTGGTTTGAGAGTAAAAATACCTATTATGAATATCGTAGAAGAGAAGTTAATCTGTGCCTGTATGGCTGTATAAAAGTAAATTTTTGATATTTTAATTACTAAACTCAATAAGTAAAATATCCCAAGTTTTAGAGCTAAATATTGGACTTTTAAAATAAAATATCGAAAATCTATTCATATATACGTCATGATAAATTTCTTCTCTTCAATAAATCATGTTTCAAGTGTCTATACTATGTCAGTTTCAGTGTTTCACTAAAATTCACATTTGTAAGTAGTATGTTAAGTGTGTAAAGTGATCACACATTTATATGACGCGCATGCACACACATTGCCTATATTGAACTCCTTAAAAACTTATTACAAAGAAAAAGTTTGTCACTTGTCACTTGTCAACCTATGAATCAATAAATTATAAAAAAGAAAAGAAAAGAATTTGATTCCAAACCCAGCATTTGTATATTTGGATTTTGAAAGGGCCATAATTCCAGCAATTGAAATTGTTTTAGGAGATCATAGGTATAATAATTAAATTAAAGGTTGTTTTTCAACATCCTATATTATCCTCAGTCTGTACGGATGTTGACCAGTTGCCATCCACATTCCACTGCTGTATTTGGAATTTTGAAAATATACCAGTTGCCCTCACATATTATTACATACACCATGATAATACCAACGACCCGTAAAATAGGGGAGACGTTTGTCCTTCTATATAAAATATAATCCTCACATAAAAACCAAATTTAATAGTTAAAAAAAACGTTAACTAGAAACGTTAACTTAAAATGACTATAAAAATAAACTGTAATTGTGTATTTTTTAGATTTTTTGGTAACAGAATTAACTATTTACATGGAATCTTGTTTAAAATTATCAATCCTTGAATATAAAAGTTGAACATATTATACATTTTTAGCTAGAAAATAATTATTCAATGTTTAATTTAAAAAATTTTGTCAAAATTCAATCTTTAAATGTTTATAAAAAAAATTGTGCCTATGTATTTTAATATTTTTCAACTGATATTGTAACAATATATCAGGAGCCTTGTAATACATTTTTACACTTTTTGGCCCAACAGATAAAATTTAATTGATATTTATAGGAAAAAAAACTAAAAAAATTGAAAACTGAAAATGGCCGTAAACAGCTCATAAGGAGTTAAAATTTTATCAAGTATAAGAATTGATAAAATAAACATTCAGTGAAATTTGCATGTTTCTAGAGTCATTCGTTTTTGAATTATATGAAAATAAGAAAATCGTTACATGAGAAATTGAGTGAATAATAAATTTTGTAAAAATATGAATTTCAAACACACATAAAAATTTAATTTGACTTTCTTATAGACATTTTTTTTTTGATAAAGGTAGTTAATTTTATAAGGAATCTTTTATTACATTTTAAAATCTTAGACTTAAAAAGAAAAATTTTTACGAATTCTTAACTTAAAATAATTTGCTAATTTTCGTGATTTTTCCATATTTTTTCAATTTTTGAACTTCAAATGCTTATAAAAAATGAAAATGTCCCTAAACAGTTCAAAATAAGTCAAAATATTTTTAAAAAGGCATGGTGTATAGAAGATGCTAATATAAACAGTCACTAAAAATTTCATGCATCTACGGTAATTTTTTTTGGAGTTACACCAAAAACCAAAATCGATTTTCTGGAAAACAGATGTTGGGTAAAAATTCCCGTTTTCCTTAATTTTTCGCAGTGCGTTTGAAAACTACTGGAAAAATTTTACTTTTGACGCCCCAAAGTACCAACTAGATTCCCTTTCCTATCAGAAAAAATACTGTTGAAGAATATCCAAGCCATTTTATTGTCCTAAAAGCGATTTAATCTATTTACTATGCCTAAAAGGTGATGACAGACACACAAAAAAAAAAAATAATAAAAAGACACATCATTTTAAAATCAATACATTCATCGTTTCACTCAGAATCTAAAATACATAGGTATAGTTTTTTCATAAGCATTTTAAGTTCTATTTATGACAACATTTATCAAATTTAAAATTAAAAAATGATTTTGTAGATAAAAATTTATAAAATGTTCAACTTTAATTGTTAAGTATTGAAAATTGAAAACAATAGGTTATCTACACGTAAATAAGTTATATTATATAAATTACTCAATTTGACAATAATATCATAAAATACCTTTACTTAGTAATATCATAGGCTGACTGCCTTCGCTCAGAATCGTTTTTCTTATACAATCAGTGACCGTGATTTTGAAGGGCAGTTGCTCGATAGTTTTAAAGGGGTGCCGGGCGGGTGAGTACTGGATTTAGTGAGAAATTTTAGTACAAGATGAACTTCATCTGAAGATGATATTTAATAAGAATAATCACTTAAATAATAAGTATTATATTCAATATTGTAGCCAAGGGCAGGGGCGGCTCAAAGAGAGGTAGTGTGCAAGGGTGGGTGACTGCCCCCCCAGGATAAGTTCTCGCCCAGATATTTTAACTCCTATTTTTACTGGTGTGTTGCCGTTTATATGATGGACATAATATTATAATCGTAAATACTAAATGGGATTACTATCCTAATTTTTAACTCACCGTAATTGGTAAATGTGATCGTTCAAAATGTTTAAAAATTCACCTATTATAGTTAGGTTATTAGTCGGGTTTCCCAAACGAGTCGTCATTCTGTTAACTGTGTATATGTATGTGTCGTGTTTTAGTGTCGTGTGTGTAGTGTGTACACTTGACCGTTGACGTGCATGGTCGTATTTCGTTCATTCGTTAATATAATTAATATTCGTCGGTGGAAATGTTGTTTTATTTCACTTAAATGTTAAATCTCAAAAATTGAAAAACAATATCAATAACGTTAACAGTTGATACATAAATCATTAATTATTTTAATTGATAGCAGTACTGTTGAGCTTGCCCCTTCAAAAAATTGACTTGCCCTTTATCGCCCCTATAAGAAAACAATTCTGGTGCCGTCCCTGGTCAAGGGGTGTTACCGTACCAGGTAGGTCATTAAAAAAATTAATTTCCCGATAAAATATTTCACTTCGCCACTCCACTGAATACAATGATATTATATCATTGAATACAAATTTCACACCTTCCATTAGAGTGACCCACTTGTAGCCTACTGTACAGGCTTATAAGTTATAGCACAGCTATCCCACTTGCTTACCTTTTTAAATTTTAAATTTGATAAAAAGTGACACCGGTGAATGGAGTCACTGACTATCGCGGTAACGTGGTACTGTCAAACATTGTTCTATGATATGACCATAGATAAGTATCTAGGTCCTAGGATCTGACTGTCGTCGAAATTGGCACCCACAGGCCACAGGCCACAGGCCGGAATATTTACAAATTACAAGTGCAGCTGATAGTACTATCTTTAATCGTGTTGTTAACTATTGATAACACCGAACCTGATAAACATATTATATTGTGTATTCGTGTGATGATAGCAGCTGCAGTTGCCGGTCCGCGGGGTTGGCTGTACTGCAATTATGGACGCGTGGCGCTATCATTTTCCAGCGGAAAACTACAGCACTACATGTCTTGTATCGCACATTCGCACCATATCTCGTGATTGGTGATTCGGTATTATTTTTTTTTCTTAATTCCAAACACGTTTTTTTCTGTCTACGTCGATTCGATCCTCAATGCATTGATTGGGTTTTCGTATTTTCATTTGTGTACGTAATACGGGACGCGTAGGTACCGACAAACGGCCTTAGATATGTCCAATAACGCGGCGCCGGACTCTTGGGAGGAAGACGAATTAACAGATTCGAGTGCTGCTGATTTGCAACAGAAACTCATCAAACTAAACGTAAACGCGGTAGAGTTTATTCCGTCATTCACCTCGTTTTCGTCCAAGTCCGATGACGTTGACGGTGGTCCTGAAGATGAGACTACCGGCGGTGGTGACAAGAAAACGACCAGTAAGTGGTACCGGTTTTAAGGTTATGACGTGTCCTAATTTATTAAGTCTGTTTGTCCGATGTTTGTAGACGTGGACGGCATAGGAGACCCGTTGGCTGGTGACACCGGCGGAGGGGCTTCAGCTGCTGTGCTTGACTCGTGGGAAGATGGTGCTTCCAGCACTCCCGAGGACGGAACTGCCAAACCCATTATCGAGATTGATAATGATATCGACATTGACATTGATGTGGACTGTGATGAAGAGAAACCTAAACCCATTGCTAAAAAGGCTATTGAAGAATCTGAGCCAAAACCTAAAAAGGAGCATATCAACATAGTCATTATTGGACACGTAGGTAAGACTCGGAACAATTACAAATATTGCCTAAAATAAATGTGTTGCGTGTATGTACTTACTATGTACATGTTATGTAGAAGTATGAATTATACAATCTAAATTAAATATTTATTTCTGACTTTAAAACCACATATTTTGGTTAATATCTCAGCTGAATTTTTTTATTTTTGTAAAATATTGTGGCTAGAGGTAAGTAGACAGATTATTTGATTTTGAATGAAGTCAAATTTATATGATAGTTGTTTGTAAATGACAATTCAAACATTTTGTTTATGTAAAAAATTTGCTAAGTGCTGGTATAGTTTTTTGTAAATTTCCATAAGTTTTATTTTTTGGATTTCTATCGCATTATATTTAAAAATTTTGCAGTACCTATATTTTTTTAATACCCATCAATTAAAATTAAATACATAATATATTTGTATTACAATTTCTTTCATACCATCATTCCACTTGAACTGTTATATACAATTTTTAAAACTAAAAGTTCATTTTTCTAATATTGTACTAAGTAGTAGTTATACTTTAAATTAAGTACATTAATATTGTTAGTACCTAATGGTTGCTATTGAGGGTAAATTAAATTGGTAAGTTTAAATATTATAAACTATTTAGTAATTTTAATTTGCTTGATTTCTATTAAATTTTCTTGATGTGTCATCTTTAAAAAAAAATTAATTTTTGACTGACATGATTATCTTCCAATATTATGCATTTGTAGTTTAAAATGATATTGTGTGTCTCATTAAGTTGTGTAGTGTATATTTAATATTTATGCAACTGTAATTTATTCTCAACCTTACATTAAAATAGTTTCGGTAGGTGCCTAAATACCTACAGTTTAAGATAAATTATTTAAATTTAAATCAAGACGTTTAATATATTGATGATTTATACTAGTAACTATATTTACAGCTACTGAGTTTCCAATTGATTTACATACTGTATATACATTTTTTTCGTAATACTAATATTAATTGCACATAAATCATTTTTATATGTAACATACCTATTTTAAATTCAAAAAATAATATTAAGATAACTGAAGATAAACTTTTAAAATATGTATGGGAATTATATTTTTATTGTAAATACCTTTAAAAAATGAATAATTAATATGCAAAATTCCGTGGTGTAGCTATAATAATTTATATCTATTTATTTGCTTATTTAGATGCTGGAAAATCAACAATTGGTGGTCAAATAATGGCACTTACTGGTATGGTCGATAAAAGAACTCTAGATAAATATGAAAAAGAAGCAAAAGAAAGAAGCAGAGAATCGTGGTACTTATCATGGGCCTTAGATACTAATCAAGAAGGTATTTCATAAATGATAATTAAAAAGAATACGATAGTTTCATATTTTACTAGGTATACTACTAAAATAATAATAATAATTTTTAATTTTTAGAAAGAGAAAAAGGTAAAACGGTTGAAGTTGGCAGAGCATATTTTGAAACCGAGAGAAAGCATTTTACTATATTGGACGCACCTGGTCATAAAAGTTTTGTACCCAACATGATTGGTGGAACGGCTCAAGCTGATTTAGCTGTTTTGGTAGGTTTTAATTTATAATGATAAATACCAATTTATGAAAATGTTATTGTATATTTACACTTTTACTAGTGACTAATATTGCCGATAATAAAACCCATTAAAAATAATTAACAGCTGACAATGCACAGTCTTCAGAAAATCTTATCGATTTGTACCGTTAATATGTATGTCTTGTATAAAACTATGAAATCAATTGAAAATAAACACAATAAAGGCATTTATCAGTGAAAAAGTCAAAATAAATAAGTTCATCTTCTTACATATTAAATGACACGCATTTTTATATAAAAATTATTTCTCTATTATTATTATTGTTATTAAAAAAAAGGCTTTTGCCTTCAAATCCAAAACTTATTTATGACCTTTTTAAGACTTATCACAATTTTATTCAAGAGTTGTTGTAGGATATTCACTTTTCACCTAATTGTAGTTTTTATAATTACAATAAGAAAACATTAAGAGTACTGTTACTGTTGAATACTAAATTATGTAAATCTTAATTTAATTTGTTCTTTTGGTGATTAGGTTATTTCTGCTCGTAAAGGTGAATTCGAAACTGGATTTGATCGAGGTGGACAAACCCGAGAACATGCTATGTTAGCAAAAACAGCAGGTGTAAAACACATGCTGGTGTTAATAAATAAAATGGATGACTCGACTGTTCTGTGGTCAAAAGCAAGATATGAAGAATGTAGGGACAAAATTTTACCTTACCTGAAAAAGCTTGGGTTTAATGTAGCTAAAGACTTAACATTTATGCCTGTGTCTGGTCAAACTGGTTTAGGACTAAAAGACCAGGTTGAAGAATCTATATGCCCTTGGTATAGGTAAGGGCTTTAATATATTATTTTTCGTGTAGAAGAATCATACTACATTTTTATTTTTATTTTTCAGAGGGCCAGCTTTTATTCCATTTATTGACAATTTACCTTTATTAAATCGTAGTTCAGATGGCCCTTTTATAATGCCTGTTGTAGAAAAATATAAAGACATGGGAACTGTACTCATGGGAAAAGTAGAATCAGGCGAAGCAAGAAAAACACAAACTCTAGTGTTAATGCCAAATAGAGTATGTTTTATACTTCAGTATGAATTATCACATTCCTTATATCTACAGTAATAATGTATACTATTTGTAGACAACTGTTATTGTTGACCAATTGTGGTCAGATGATGAAGAAGTTACCTCGGTTGGACCAGGTGAAAATATCAAAGTTAAACTGAAAGGAGTCGAAGAAGAAGATGTCTCTCCTGGTTTTATTTTATGTGATCCAATTAATCCAGTTAAAACTTGTCGTATATTTGATGGACAGGTATAAAGAATTTGAATATATAAGTTTATAGAATGTATTTTAAAGGTGGATATTTTTAATTTTAGGTTGTCATATTAGAGCATAAAAGCATTATTTGTGCTGGATATTCAGCAGTTATGCATATCCATTGTGTTGCTGAAGTAGTAGAAGTTAAGGTAAATTAAAATAGATAATCAAAACATTAGTTGTCTTGTAAATTTATTTTTTATACTGGTGTACTATATGATTTTGTTTTGGTTTTTTTTTTCAGGCGTTAATATGCTTAGTTGATAGAAAAACTGGATTGAAATCAAATATGAGGCCAAGATTTGTTAAGCAAGATCAAGTAGTCATAATGAGGCTTGAATGTTCTGGTGTTGTCTGCCTTGAAGAATTCAAACTTTTCCCACAAATGGGTAGATTCACACTTAGAGATGAAGGTTTGTACTTTGTTTAAATATTTAGTCATTCTATTCATTATTGGTTTGCAATTTTCACTAAAGATTTAAATTAAAATATGTTACATAATCAGTGGTGTATTGGTAAATATATTTATGGGTATACGCACTAATAAAATATGTATGTAACTTAAAAAAAATTTTCATCGCTCCGCTCTAAACACATTCATTAATCCCTAGTATGTATAGAACTTCTAATTAATATTATGTTCAAATTATATTATTGTAAATAATGTTATTGCAATTCAATTAGTAGGTACGTTATAGCATTTAACGTTATTTTATTAATTTTTTAATAATATCACAATAGTAAATAAAACAAAATCAACTTGAATGTCAAAAAAATAAAATAACAGTGAAAAACTAAAAAGAAATAAAATAATATTAATATTATAGAATTTTCGACAGATGTTTTGTATTCAATATTGGGTTCATCGGTGTTCAAAATATTTGTTCTTGTATCATCAGCAGCTCTATTTTGGCTTATTAGCCATGACTTAACATAATATACTTCTGGGTTCCATTGATTCAGAGGTGGACCGTTTATATTTAATAACTAATAAGTCAAATTCTTTGAATTAAAAAATTAAAAAAGGGACACCAGTGGTCAATACACTTTATAGGTTATACATTTTACACACTTGTATTTTCTTGAAATTTTAAATTGTTTAATACTTACATTCTAGGAAAAATATCCATTATTGCAGTAACAATAATTTATAAATAAATATATAAATAATAAATAAAACAAAAATAATAAGCCATTCAATTGGCCCATGCCTGATTAACACTTATAATAGCGTCAGATGTCAGTGGTTAAAAAACATACAGCACCTCAAGAATCACGTTTGCCTCGTTTACTAAATAAATTGAACTTACAATACATTAAACACATCATATATTGTTGTGCACAATACTTTAATACATAAATAATTCATTAAAACATCATAACAATTTTTTCCTGTAAACTAATATTTAATAAATAAGTTTTAACTTTTATTTGGTTTTCGGGTTATTTTAGGAGACTATACCCGTAAAATGAGATTTTACATTGAGTACAAGCCGATAATCGAAAATCTGCTGACGGGTATACTGCGTATACGTACCAATATATCCCTGTACATAATATTGGTACTTTAAAAAATGAAAATAGTCTATTGTGTGTACTATTTATGTATTCCAGGCAATAACAATGATTATTAGTTATTAGTTATTACCAGGGCTCGTAAGTTCATGCATCTGCATGTTTTTTTTGCCACACAGGAAAACATGCTAACTGAGATACAAATCCGTTTCATAACAATAGTAATAATAATATGAAGTTTGATAGTGCATGTTTTTGCATGTTTTGGGTGTAAAGTCATATTTGGCATATAGTTGATTTTTTACAGTCTTTAGTGCATATTATTTCATAAAAATATTTTTTAGACAAATATTTCAAAAGTTTCTTCCGATTTTTGATATTTTGTTCCAATCGTCCAATATCGCATGGTAAATTATAACGATTTTTTTAATTTTTTATTGAGTAATTATTCGGGTAATTAATAAAAATATAGAAAATCAGGCTTCTTACAATTGTAAAAAAAGTTCTACTTTACAATTTTTATAATAGGTATTTTTACTGTAAACCACTTCAATAAGCCGTATTACTTGAATTACGAAACCATGGTTTTATGCCAAATTTTGTCTACTAATTGTCTATTTGCGCCCTCTTGTTGGAAAACATAAAAAAAACACTTATAAAATATATATTACTAAATTATCTCTAAATGAAAAACCTAATATTTCATTCCAAATGTTTTCATTGTTGGTGCTGAATAAGAGTGTAAACAAATTAGACAAAATTGACTACCTAATTAAAATTTATAAAGATGACAAAGCTATTTGAACTTCACAAGTATTAATTTTATTTTTTATTTTATTAATTTTGACTGTTAAATATATAAAAATTAAAAGGAATAAAATACTTTTAAAATGTATGGATTTATTCTTATTATTTTAAAATTTGGTCATGTTTTTTTTACATAATGCATATTTTGAGTATATAATTTAAAAATGTTAATGCATATAAATGCATATTTTTGAACTTTTAAGTGCATATTTTGACAATTTTTAGTGCATGAATGCATGCTTATTTATGCATTTTTTAGTGCATGAAGTTACGAGCCCTGGTTATTACACTCTCTAAGATAGAAATAATAGACAAAATGTTATTTACAACTACTTTATTCCAAATAACTTTGGAAAAAAATCCCCAACAAAATACACAGCAGTTCGCACATGTGCTGTCTTGTTGGCACTGCACTACTGCAGCCAATGACAGCCGCCCTACTGTTCCAAAGCTACGCAGTTTTTCCAAACTTATTTGGAATAAAGTATACAGGGGTGGACTGGTCCAGGGTGTTACATACAAAATAGCTCCCAAGGCTTCTAAACACTAACCTAACCCATGCTAACATTTTCTAATAGCTGTATTAATATTAAAACCCACAAATTATTATTTTGCCTGTCATCGACAACGACACAGCGAGTTGTCTATTTTTTGTACAAACTGTAGACAACAACACAGTAGTAAATGAGTTATAGTGGTAGGGGTGCACACTGCAGATAGCGGTTCTCATCTCTTTGTTATCACACAGAATACAAAAAGGGCAATAAAGCAATCTATCCTAATTAATGTTTAAGCCTTTTTGGCTCATATTTACATTAAAAAAACATCAAGCTAAAAGTTTTTGATAAAACAACAAATATTCCTGTCATTAGGAAACCATTTACATTTTTATAATATTTATAAGATATTGCAAATATTAAAAATAAAAAAACCCATTAAATTAAAATTATTATTTTTAAATAATATGAGACGTAAAAATAAAAATTGTACTAAGATTTTTTGTACTGTCTTGTATTGAGAGTCATTAGACATTAAAAGCCCACAGCTGGCTTTGCCCTTAATTAAAAATTTAAAAAAGTAGTAAGTAATCAGATAAAACTAGTCTGTATTTATAATTATTGGTATATAATCTTCTGATTATCGTTGACTAGACAATGTATCAATGGTAATAGCGAAAAAAAATAGTCATTTTACAACAGCATTGTTTCCTACAATACTGTAAACTCAGCTACAAATTGAATATTGTTTATGTTTTGTTATTGACAGTTAAATTGTTTTAATTTATTTTAATTTATTTTTTCAGGTAAAACTATTGCTATTGGCAAAGTGTTGAAAATAATTGAATAGATGAGCTTATTTATGTTGAAACCTAGTAAGTTGAAAACGTTGGGCGACATATATATATATTTTATAACTTAATTTTTTTCATTTATTTTTTATGATAAAAAAAAAAAAAATGTTGAACTCAAAAAAAAAAAATTATGCTGATCCTTTTATTATATAAGAAATCTAATATTTATATAGCCACATTTAACGGACACTTGTTATTGTTGATTGATAGTTAATGTGTGCCTTATACCAGGCAGTTTTTTTTTTTTTTTTACATAGCTTGTACATGTTAAATAATTACATAGACTATGTAAGGGAAAAAAATGTTACTAATAATTATATTTATCTCTAAATCATTGAACTGCCATCTATGTCCTTGTAAAAAATGTACAATTTTTGTCTGAGTACAATAACAACAGTAACAACATTACTAAAAGCACTTGGCTTGCTCACGGTTATGGGTTATACTTTTTGTATTCTAATGTGTAAATGTTACAATTATACACATTAAGTTATATACATTTGTGTCACAAACAACTCATGTCCTACTGGACCTACATAAACTCTAGACTTGAAGAATTGTCTGACTATGCTATCTGATGTGCGACTTTCATATTTAAATATGTTTTGTTGTTAATGAAGAAAATCCAAGTATTAAATTTAATTAAACATGTGATCATTAATAATAACTAAATATGTCCATTAAGACTTATGTAATAAACTCTATACATAATTTATTATGTTTCATTAATTTGTGTATAATAAGCAACCAATAGTTATCGAATCAGATAAAAAATAAGATTAAATATATTCATTATTATTATTTCAGACAATAAAACGATTATTTTCAGCTATAAATCAAAATTCTTATGTTTTATTATCGTTGTCTTATATTGGAATTGTTGGTAAAACTTTGGAGAAATGTAAATACAGTAGTAGACTGGTTTATGCTTCATAATCATAATGTATGTTCATTTCAAGAAGGTATCTTAGCAGGAGTCTGGCAACACATATTTGTTATACTGCAGAGTCAACCGTCTGAACATTGCCATGTTGTATAGCGATAGCCTTATGCAAGTTAACTGCTGAGATGCCTTCTTATGGTGAAAAGAGTATGGAAACAATATTTAGGGTGTTTATTTTTTTGTTTCAAGTATAATATTGTATATATTACAGAGCAGATCAAATTCAACAACTTTTGTTCAACGATTATTGATGAAAACATACATTTTAAATAATAAACAATGATTACAGATTTTACAGAAGCTGTTTTAAATGTTAAACTTGCATTGTACATTTTACTGGTTGTTTACCTTTAAAGGAAATTATTTCCTGAAAACTTGTTATTTATGAGATACTTGAGAAGATTAATTTTTTTCACTGGTTTATACAAACAATTGTACAAAATTTGTCTTGTATGCTAACTAGAGAAAACTGATAAATACCAGAATCCGTCACATTAAATTGTATGTAATATTATTTAGGTACCTATAAGGCTATTACATACATTTAGATTCTGAGCGGAGCGATGAATATATTGATTTTACAATGTGTTTTTTTTTTTTGTGTACATGATAAGTAGTCAAAATAATGCTTTGATTTTCATCTTCAGTATCTTGTTTAACAGAGAAGTGAATTAAGTTAGTGCATTCGGTAAGTCAACATTTAAAATTATAGCCAATAGTTTTTAAAGTGCCGGAAGAAACACAAAACAAATTAAAGAAAATCCAGAATTATTACGCAAAATTGGTTTTTGTTTTGGTAAAACGATAGAGTATACATAAAATTGAATGTTTATATTAGCATTGTATAATTTTCTATACACTATAAAATTTTCAAAATACTTTTGGATGTGAGGACATTTTCTTTTTCCAATTTTTTTAGTTGTTTTCTATGATTGTCAATAAAATTTTATTCTTTGGGTCAAAAAACTTTAAAATGTAATACAAGGCTCCTTATACATTGTTCCAAATTTCAATGGAAGTTGAAAAATATAAAATCACTATTAAGAATTTAAAGTTGGAATTTTGACAAATAACAAAAATTGTAGCGATTTTCTTACTTTGTTGTGATTCAATATTTAATAACTGTAGAAACTTTAAATTTACACCATATATTATTTATTTTATCAGTTTCTATACTTGATAAAATTATCAAAATATTTTACCTCGTTCTGAGCTGTTTATGGACATTTTCAACTTTTTAGTTTTTTTTCCATAAATGCCTATAGAATAAATTGTATATGTTGGGTCAAAAAGGGGGGAAATTCATAAAAAATGCTCGAATAACAATAGCAGTTGAACAATTTTGAAAATACATAGGCACAATTTTTTTTAGAAAAATATAATATTATTGCTAAGTTTAAGTTAAGGATGATTGAACATTTTAAACAAGGTTCCAAGTAAATAGGTTATTCTGTAACCAAAAAATATAAAAAAGATTATTTTTTATAGCTTTCTTATGTTCAAATTTGGACAAAGTTATATATTAATTAACCAGTGTCGGCTTGGCCCTTCCGATTTTTTTAAGGTCTCGTACAAGTTTAAATAGTTTAATACAATCCATTATTCATTGACACACTTGTAATCTACTTTACAGCAAAGCGAAGCGAAACGATGAATGTATTGATTTTACAATGATGTGTGTTTTATTTTTTAGATTCTGAGTGAAACGATGAATGTATTGATTTTACAATGATGTGTATTTTTTTTTATTTTTGTGTGTGTACACGATTAGTAGTCGAAATAATGCTTCGATTTTCAACTTCAGTAACTTGTTCGATGGGAAAGTGAATCTAGTTGGTACTTTTGGGAGGTCAAAATTAACAAAAGAAAAATTAAGGAAAAACGGGAATTTTTACTCAAAATTGATTTTTCACAAAATTGAATTTGGTTTTTGGTGTAACTTTAAAACAAATGACTTTAGATACATGAAATTTTCACTGGTTGTTTATATAGAATTTTCTATACACGATAATATTTTCAAAATATTTTGATTTATTTTGAACTGTTTAGGGTATATTTTCATTTTCCATTTTTTAGATTCTGAGCGGAGCGATGAATGTATTGGTTTTACAATGATGTGTGTTTTTTTTTATATTTTTATATTTTTTTTTGTGTCTGTCATCACGTTTTAGGACAGTAAAAGTGCTTGGATTTTCTTCATCAGTAGCTTTTATTTTTTTCTGATAGGAAAGTGAATCTAGTTGGTACTTTGGGGGGTCAAAAGTATAAATTTCCCAGTAGTTTTCACAAGCGCCGGGAAAAACCACATAAAAATTAAGGAAAAACGGGAATTTTTACGCAAAATTGGTTTTCCAAATAATCGATTTTGGTTATTGGTGTAACTCTAAAACAAATGAACGTACCTATATACATGAAATTTTCACTGGTTGTTTATATTTGCATTATCTATACACGATAACATTTTCAAAATATTGAATATTGTTTAGGGACATTTTCCATTTTTTTTTTTAGTTTTTTTTCTAAAAATATCAATAAAATGTAATTTGTTGGTTAAAAAAGCTTAAAAATCTAATAGAGAGCTTCTAGTATATATTGTTTCAAAGGCAGATGAAAAATGTAAAAATTTTTCTTTTTAAATCTAAAATTTGAAAAGGTAATTCAACATTCCTTATAAAATTATCTACCTTTATCAAAAAAAAAATGTCTATAAGAAAGTCAAAATTAAATTTTTATGTGTGTTTGAAATTCATATTTTTACAAAATTTATTATTCACTCAATTTCTCATGTAGGTAACGATTTTCTTATTTTCATATAATTCAAAAACAAATGACTCTAGAAACATGCAAATTTCACTGAATGTTTATTTTATCAATTCTCATACTTGATAAAATTTTGACTCACTTATGGCTGTTTACGGCCATTTTCAGTTTTCAATTTTTTTAGTTTTTTTTCCTGTAAATATCAATTAAATTTTATCTGTTGGGCCAAAAAGTGTAAAAATGTATTACAAGGCTCCTGATATATTGTTACAATATCAGTTGAAAAATATTAAAAATACATAGGCACAATTTTTTTTTATAAACATTTAAAGATTGAATTTTGACAAAATTTATCAAATTAAACATTGAATAATTATTTTGTAGCTAAAAATGTATAAAATGTTCAACTTTTATATCCAAGGATTGATAATTTTAAAAAAGATTCCATGTAAGTAGTTAATTCTGTTACCAAAAAATCTAAAAAATACACGATTACAGTTTATTTTTATACCAGTCAATTTAAGTTAAAATTTGGACGAAATTATATAATAAAAAACCTAGAATAACTATTTTAGTTATTTTGTTGTGATTGTATAATATTATTCGTTGGTACTTGAAACTTCTAAAGTACTTAGTACACTATTATATATCTATGATAGTACCTATTAGGGTTTGTTGTTGATGTATAAAGCGTTATAAGTACCTACTACCTAATGGATATTGTGATATGAATTTGGAATTCATTATAGGTAAATTTTTTTTAATACCTACCATAGATAAGTATATAATATGTCTTACCTCTAGGTATAGACCTAGAGTGACATACCGTCTCCGTTCAGAATCGTTTTTCTTATACAATAATATTATATCATTGAATTTAAATTTAATACCATCCCTTATAGTTTATACAGTGACCCACTTGTAACCTACTGTTCAGCAGAGCACCTTTTTTTTAATTGTTTGGCGTGTGCCTTGTACATATAGGGAGCGTGGACCTCCTAAAGTATTTATCTATATATTTAACCGTACGCAATTTTTCTTCACAGGGCCCTGATGCTTGCTTATAATTATATAGTTTGAGCATTGCACTATAAATTGTAATAGTACAAGCTTCAAGTAATAAATAGGAGGAGGTTTTTTTGGATTAATAATTAATCCAAAAAAACCTCCTCCTATTTATTGAGAATTATTGTGCTAAGTAGGTACTGCAAGTTAAGTTATGTTTTATATTTCTCCTTGAAAACAATGGGTTCATAGGAGGCCTTGAGGGATCCGCTCACCCACTCTGCAACA